TAGATATGATGTAGGATAAAGTGTGCCGCGCCACCGTTTTTGAGATATTCACGGAAAACCGCAGGGGGTTGCAGTGGCGGATCCAGGGGGGGGGGGGGCAAAATGGGCATTTGCCCCTCCCAAACGGCATACTTTTAACATAACGCCTATGGACGAGGCATGGAAAGAATCGATAAATTGTTATGGTTTGCCCCCCCCCCCCAAAAAAAAACTCTGAGCTGGATCCGCCACTGGGGGGTTGTTTTCACGGAAAACACCCCCCAGCAGGGCGCGGGTTAATACATACGAGTACATGAACACAGCAGCCCATTTCTGTAATAAATGCCTGTGGCTGTGGTTGGTATTTTTTCGATGGATGCAATTACCCAAATCATTTATCAGATTGTGGTGATATTTCCATAGCCATGCTTCGCACAACTCATAATAATCTATTTGACCGGGAAATTAATATATATCCATCGATTGTTTGTTTCATCTACGGCGTTAATGAAGCAAACCACCTAGCCCTAGGAAAATTTTCTAATGAAACCATGTTTTACTAACAGCAAGTAAACGTGGCATCATTCACACAGAAAGAATTGATAACCGTATAATTTCAATCTTGCAGACGTCAGTCAGGTCAGAATCGAAACAAGCCTATGGAAAATATAATGAAATGTGTCCAGCTTCGAGTAAACGAGTCAACACCACCCAATTCTTTCTGGATTACGTCAGATTATCTGATCTGTATGCACCCAGGTGGCATTTACTGACAGGGGCACCGAGAAGGATCATCTGAGGTGAGGTGAGGTCATCAACAGTTTTTTAGCCAATAAATCACGACATGATGGGGCTAAATAGATGTTAGTTACCAAACTGTTCGCCTGGTACCATGCCACTTGGTGACTTGTGATACGCGTTATGTTTCTTACCGCTATAGCGGTAAGAAACATACCAGCGCGCTGGCCATATGAAAACTGAACAAAAGTGAACGCATTATGTTGTATGTACTATGTAGGCATGAGACCCTCTGTAGAGAGGAGGCCCCTTTAGGGAGGAGGCCCTCTGTAGAAAGGAGGTCCCCGGGATTCCTCCGCCCCTCCCTTGGCCAAATCCTAGCTACGTGCCTGCTTCCAGTCTGCTCATTTAGGTACTGATCACACAGTATATGTTTTGTAGAAGCACTGGCGGATCCAGCCGTTTTCAAAGGGAGGGACCAAAGCCGGCCAAAAGGTCATGTTTCCGAAGGTTATAAAGGACAAAATTTCCCGCTTTTCTTATACTTGATTAATTGAGATCGGAAGTGAGGATTTATTGACTTATCTTCATGCATGTCGTCATTTTTTGTAAATTGCAGTCCTGAGAAGATTTTAAAGGGGGAATTTGATTTAGAAAGGGGGCCAAATCATGCTTTGGCCGCCCCTAACCCTGACTTTGGCCGGTTGCCCCCCCCCCCCCGCCCTTGGATCCGCCAGAGTATAGAAGACAGCATGTTTCCTCAGAACCTTACCAGTTCCGAGAAACATTGGTGAGGCGTTTTACCTCGGCGGGGCGACTCGTCCCGGCCTTTTTAGATTATCAGACATAATTTTCGATTAAAACACTGATATAAATTCATGATGTGAAAATATGTGTTGAAAAAGAGATTTAGTGCAGATTTGGTCAAGTCTGGTGCAATCCCCATTCCCCAGATAATCCGTCGTGAAAATGGCTCATATAGGCTTAAAAGCTGCAATAGTCCCGGTCCCGTAGCTCAGTCGGTAAAGCGTTGGACTCCGCGTGGTGAGAGCACGTGTTCTCGGTCATAACAGTCCGGGTTGGAAGCGCGACGGGCGCTTGACATTTATGAGCCTCCTGACAGGTATGGTTGCGGTTGGTGGCAGGTGGTAGCCAGGCGAAATCAGTGAGGGGACCGGCCGTGCGCGGTTATGTGCGCACGTTATGCTTTTGACTCCAAATTCTGCCATAGAACCGAAATTACGCGATCGGAGGGTAGAGGGCAGGGTCAACGCAACAAGCTTCGCTTTGCGGGGGCTCCATGTCCTTGTAAATCCTCCCATTCAAAAGGTTCGGATTAAATTCATAAGTAAAAACTATAGACACCTATACTCTCTCTCTCTCTCTCTCTCTCTCTCTCTCTCTCTCTCTCTCTCTCTCTCTCTCTCTCTCTCTCGCTCTCTCTCTCTCTCTCTCACGCTCTCTCGCTCTCTCTCTCTCTCTCTCTCTCTCTCTCTCTCTCTCTCTCTCTCTCTCTCTCTCACGCCCCGGGCTCTCTCGTGTCTAATAGAGCTGTAAAGGTTACGACGGGCGGGCGAGCTTGTGTCCGGACGGGACCTCTTGGGGCGGCGGTAACCCTTTGTGGCCGCCGTGCCGCTCCCAGTGCGGCGTCTCAATTCATACAACCCTCCTCGGTCCGGCTCATTTGGAGATCCGGTGTAATAAAATGTCGTTCGTATTCGTTATATTGGTAAGAATACATCCTTCCCAAGTCGATCCGCGTCATTCCCCTTTACGTCTCCCCAGTCCCCACATTGACCCAGAAAATAATTATTTACTTTTCCACTTCTCGTGCACAATTTCACGCGTCGACAAATAAACCGCACTTCCATTACACCGCCACCTGGCTTTCAAGCCACACATAAGTGACCAAGAAGCATAGTGAATCACACCACCTGATGCGAGCGTCACTCGTCAGCATCTCCGTCAACTTCAACCAGCGGGCATCCACCGCCACCAGTCCTGTCGCCACTCGCCAGCACTTCAAGTTAACTTCAACTGGGCCTCCACCGCCACCAGTCCTGTCGCTGCGAGCATCACTCGCCAGCACTTAGGTAATCACGTGCCAGTACAAGTGATTAAGAGTGTGTGTTTGTATGTATGTGTATAGTGTAACGCATAGGTACGAGTCTGCACGTAAGCTTGTATGTTTGTGAATGAGTGTGCACGGAGAGAGGTGCCCCGAATTAAGCCTTGAGCTTCTGCACCAATCTCCGATTTACTCTTTTGTTCCAGTACTTTCTGTTCAATAAATATCATCATCATCATCATCATCATCACTTCAAGTTAACTTCAACTGGGCATCCACCGCCACCAGTCCTGTCGCTGCGAGCATCGCTCGCCAGCTTTTCAAGTTAACTTCAACTGGGCATCCACCGCCACCAGTCCTGTCGCTGCGAGCATCACTCGCCAGCACTTCAAGTTAACTTCAACTGGGCATCCACCGCCACCGTCCTGTCGCTGCGAGCATCACTCGCCAGCAACGCCAGTTAAATTCGACCATACTTCCAGCCAAGTTAAAGCACCGAATGACCGATAACACAGGTCTCCAGTAGCCATCTCTTCAACTGCCAACTCTTCGATTCGATTATCGTAAAATAAAGCCGAAATAGCTTGTAATAAAATGTCGTTCGTATTCGTTATATTGGTAAGAATACATCCTTCCCAAGTCGATCCGCGTCATTCCCCTTTACGTCTCCCCACATTGACCCAGAAAATAATTATTTACTTTTCCACTTCTCGTGCACAATTTCACGCGTCGACAAATAAACCGCACTTCCATTACATCCGGTCCGCCGGGGGGGGGGGGAGTGGGAAGAGAGAGGTAGAGCAAATTTGAAGCGGAGATTTTCATGTTGCTAACGATCGTCTAAAGCATCCAAAATGTCGTGCCTTTACTTGGTTAGGTATGCCTGTTTAGGTCAGGCTCATTGAATGTTTCTAAGAAGTTGGTTATGTGAAAATTTTAGCAGCTAGCATAGTAAGCAGCTTTTTTTATAAAAATCGTTTAATCTTTTTTTCAAGGTTTATTATAAGCTGTATATTGTGGTTAATTGATGAAACCAATCACCTAAAATGTTTCAGTGCATTGAATTAAGGAAAGTTAGGTATGTGGTTCGCAAAAATAAAATGCATGAATGTTGAAACTATTACTTTTTATGCCGCCTCTCTCACTTCCTCCCTCTCTCCCCCTGTCTATCTCGCCCTCTCTCTCCCAGCGCCCTACAGCTGCAGATCTAGCCACAGGCGCTATGGCGCGGCGCCGCTCCACATTAGGATTTAATCTGCGCCGCCATCTTGTTTGCGGCGCGGTCGCATCAAAGGAATCAATAAAAATGGCCAGTTCTATCGGTCACGTATAAATAGAGTTGTGTGAGCGGCGGCCGTATATCAGCGGCGCAATAAAGCTGCCAGCGCGAGGACTAATTGGCGACCCACGGAAAGCCAGGCCGCCGCGCCGTGCCGCCCGACAGTCCGCACCGCCCGGCTGACACCGCCCTCCACCCACCACTGTACCGCCCGGCTGACACCGACCACCGCCCACCGCCCACTGCCCGATCCGCCCTACAATCCGCACTGCCCGGCTGACACCAACCACCGCTCGAACTCGCCCCACACCGTCCACCGTCTGCACCGCCCGGGTGACACCACCCACTACCCACCGCCCGGGACCGCCCGGCTGACACCGACCACCACCAACCGCCCCGGTGACACCGCCCGCTCCGCCCGAACTTGCCCTATACCTACCGCCCACGGCTCGCCTGACACAGTCCACCATCCGTACCGCCCTGCACCGCCCGGGTGACACCGACCACCGCCCGACAGTCCGCGCCGCCCGGGTGACACTGACCACCACCCACCGCCCACCGCCTGACACTGCCCTGCGCCGCCCAGATGAAACCACCCGCACCGCCCATCGCCCACACCAATCGGTGAGTGTAACACCGCCCACCGCCAAACGCCCGACACCGCCTTGCACCGCCCGCACCACTCACCGCCCGACACCGCCCTAACAAAGTCCGATCCACCCGAAAACACCGGCTGACACCGCCCACCGCTCGGCCCCGCCCGGGTGACACCGCCTACCGCTCGGCCCCGCCCGCTGCTGTCCTCACCGCCCAACATATACAGTACCTTTTACCGGTTCTGGGTGGCAAAGTTCAGCTCGTTCTGTAGTGCGCGGATGTAAATACTCAAGCAGCCTTACTATTGCGGAGTTTATGGCCGACAATGAAACTCACATATAATAATAGCTAGGTCCGTTTATTGCGATTGATGGCGAATTAAGAGCGAACATGGCCCACAGCAATGTGCATACTCCACCCACTATCGAACAGTTCCAAAGGAGCACCCCGCAAGCACCGCTTCACCACAAGCTAGGAGATCGCGGAGCCCCGCGAGACAGACTTCCATGGACAGCACAGTGCGGCTCTATCTGCGTTTTCTGCGGCTCTACCTGGGTTAACATAAGACATAGGTACAGCTAACAGCAAAAGTCGTCAATCGGTGTCAGGTACGCCAAAAGTGCACACTGCACATGCTGCTCGATGCCCCCAACACACAGAAAATGTGGTTTAACGGATAGGGGTGTTTCTAAAAAGGTTTCATACGAGACCTGATTTAAATGTGGCGACTTTTCAGTTAGACGTCGCCATCATCGGGACAAAACTGAGCGTCCATCTAGGTAGGCTCTATCGGTAGCTCAGCATATACAACAAACAAGAAATGCATCCGAGCAGGTCGCCCGCAAATACCACCACATCAATCACAGGAGGTCACCGTCCTTGAATCGAACATACAAGGCACTGGAAACCGCCGCCATACAGTGCAATCTAATACGCTAAAGGTTTAAAAAATACGCGTCAAAACTGAAATTTGAGTAATTTTTGCTGTTCAAGATAGATTAATCTTGATCTGACAGCGTGTGTAAAGAAATCGGTCATGGTCGTTTTGGCTTACGGGCGATATTTCGAGTTTTAGTCCGTCCAAATAACTAGTTACTATTTCATATAAACCGAATAGTCTTGGCTCCTTTCCCGCTGCACAATCAGGTGACCAGCCTTCTGAGCTCGATTTGACGTTCAGTCCATTCGGGCTCAATCCCGTTAAATTAATAGCGTCCGTGGCGCCCGCTCATTTTCTAAAGTCCTGGGGGATCAATTCTGCGGTGTCGGGCCGGGTCGGCTAATTTCTGCGCCGCGGCGGCGGGCGCGCAACAACAATGCGCGCTGGCCGCGTGAATTGGCGCTCGTTCCTAGCTCGATTAACGTCCGAACTGCCAGCCCCCGCGGGACGAGTTTCGAACAGGACTAACGCCACTGCGCAGCCGAGCAGCAATTAAACAGCCGAGCGCAGTTCAACTCGGCGCCGGCCAGAATGACGGCGAGATTTGACGATTTGAAAGTTTCGAATCGGCCGGTGAGGGATGCTTTCGATGGCGAGTTTCTCGCGCTTGTGAGGACTGAGCAAGAGGACGGACAGTCGAATGTCATAGTGGTTGAGAGCAATGCTGATTGTTGACTTTATTCTGGCACAGATAGCAGACGCAGTGATTTAAAGCATCGTTTGAATGGCGCCGACAGTGACAAAGAGCCTGCAAAAAGCGACAGCACGAGTGACAAAGAGCTCGCTGATTGCGGAGTATTGTCTGACAAATCGCCCAAAGAACAACAGATGGCCCCCGGTGTGCGGTAAAGAAGAGCCTGTTGAATGTGTGTCAGGGGGGCTGAATTAATGTTTTCTTGCGATAAAAATGCTGCCGGCGCTTTAAACCAGGCGACTACGGATGCACATGAGATTCATGATGGCCAAAGCTATTCTTAGTGGGACGTTATCATGTTCTTAAACACAAACACAACAAAGGCACACACTTGCACACACAAATGCGCACAAAGCGAGCAATACACATCTAATCTCAATCTAAACAAGAAGTTGCTGGTCTTTTGTCATTTATTGAATAAATCACCTCAACGCTCACAACAAGCACTCAACAGAAGTTCACTCACAACGCTAAATCTGTTTAATGTTCGTCGTGGCTAACACAAAATAGCACGCGCACACAACAGGCAGAGTTCGCGGACTCGCGCTCTGATGTCAAAGTTCTTCAGTTCATCACTAATCTCTAAACGTCGTCCGCTCGAGATTAACCACTCTCCCTGTGTACGGGCCATTTTCAGAGTCATTCCGCTCTGTGGCGGTCTACATGTTCACCGTCCACACCGTCCACACCGTCCACCGTCCACTCTCAATGGCGGCTCAGGCTGCGGCAGCCCGCTCTGAATAATATCAGTCCCGGCCGGCGTCCGTTCAGAAAGCCGTCGGTTCCCCGTCCCGCGGCTCACTCTTGGTGACCATCTGGTGCTGCTGGTGGTGCTGCTGGTGGTGCTGGTGCTGATCAGACGCTGCCATTTCTGAGTGCATGGGGTGGCCGGCCGGCAGGCTGTACCGCGGAAACCGACCCGCCTCCCCGCCGCCGCCGCCACCGCCGCTAACAGGGGTCTGCCGGTGCAGCGGGACGAGGCCGTGTACTCCCTGAGGGAACACAGATACAAACTCGGTCACACATGGGAAACCAATGTACCGATACCAAACCAATACGGGACAGGCACAGACACGGTCACACACGGCACAGGGAAACCCATGAGAATAGGTAGAGTCCTGTCCTAGCCTGATAGATTTCGCGAGCAACATCTAACAAGCTGTGATGTAATGCTTCTACGGACATGCGACCTGCCCTCACTTTCCCATGACTTCATCGTGCCTTAATTGGCGAACGCCGGGGGTCGTTTGAAATCAAACCGCTCACCAACCCTTTATGCACCATCGCCACCACCCATAGAAGAAACGGGATGGCCCAGTGCCGCTGAGATGAAAGAGATCCATCTCGATCGGTCTGGGCCGTAAAACGCAGCGACCTCTCACACAGGTCGGTGTCGGCGGGAGGAGCTGCCGGCTCTCCCGAGAGAGCTCGGTGGGTTCATGTGTGACCGTGGGTCTAAGCCCGACGGGCGGTACATAGCGGGTTTAGTGGGACAGGCTCGGGTTTCCTCCCCCAACACGGATGGTTTGATGGCTGATCGTAATAGCTCGGATATGTCCTGCACAACCACAAGATATACACCGTCGTTGGATGTAGCAGATCCGCAGTCGGTATAGATGGTGAGGCAGGCGACGCGAGATGTCTCTAACGTAATCGGTAATGGTTCGCCAAGGCCAGGCTCGACCGTCTCAGATTGAAACACAGAACACTCACGCGTTTTAAAGTAATTACGAAATGCTTTTGATAAGACGCGATGAAGCGGATTGTAATGGATCGTTTCGGCTCGTGAGGTAAGGCTGACCCGTGGGGCTGCGCCTCGCGTTATAGTTCAAAGGACGTTTAAACCTTCCCAAGCCAGAAGTGTGTTGAACTCCCTTCATGTTCTCCCGACTCAATGTCTGTTCTCCGTGTTCAAGCTCGGTATAAAATTAACTTTTATATATATGTGTAATAAAAAACCAAATAGTCCGTAAGACAATACAGTATTGACAACTTTCAGCGAATGATTCGTCATGATATCCATCCGAGCATTTACTGAGATGTTTCAACGAGACGTAACACCATAACTGACACGGCGACCTGGCTGACGACCTGTCTGGGACCTAGCTGTGAGCAAACTGTGACCCGTCTGTCTCCGAAGGTTGGGACTTTTCAATTTAGACAATCACTATTCTTTAGAATTGTGATTTTCTATTGAAAATCCCAACCTGAGCCACCTCTCTAGGGGAATTAACCTGGCAGACGACCTTCCACACACTTCATTGTGACCTGGCTGGGTGGGTACCTTGCTGTGACATAACTGTGACCTTACTGATTGATACCTGGCCGGTGCCTAACTGACATATAAAGACCTGACTGAGTCCTGAATGTGATACGAGTGACCTGACTGTGACCTCACTGTGATCTGCCTGTGACCTGATCGTGACCTGACTGACCTTTAGGTGCGCGTGGTTCAGTACGCCGAGCTGAATGTGACCTAGCGCTGTGAATTAACCGATATCTGACGTTGACCTGACTGGTGAACTGATCGTGACCTGACTGGTGACCTGAATGACCTGACTGTGACATGACTGACCTGCAGGTGCGCGTGGTTCAGTCCTCCCAGCTGGATGTCGCTGGCAGCGGGACCGCCGCCGCCGCCACCGCCGCCCTGCTGGAGATCGATCATCTGCCTCTTGGCCGTCTCCTCCATCCGCCTCTTCTGCTTCCGCTCCTTGGCGCGGCGGTTCTGGAACCAGATCTTCACCTGGGGGACAGAGACAGGGTGAATAGGAGGTCAGTTTGGTGTTGCAGACATGGCGGAATTGTTGGAGGTTCCTTCGGAGTCGAGACTTTCAAAATTAAGTGAAGTTTTCCTGCCATGAGCTAACCAGCCAAAGGGAGAGCAGATCAGCGATCGAATTGAGCTGTTCACTATTTGAGAACACTGAAAGTAGACGAAGAATATAACTATGAAGAGTGAAGACTGAAGAGCCATTGTATAACATTTGAGTCAGGCTTTCCACATGAGCATTGATACTTTTTTTTACTCGAAGAGGTGTGAGAATGTTATAAAATGTGCGACGGAAAATGTGTGAAATGCGCAATTCCCATACGTAAACAGAATGCCTACGCTTGTGATTGGGACGTGGTACGCAATATGACAGCTCAGGGAATGTCAGTGCATCTAAGCACACAGTTCAGGAATGCGAGCACCCAACCGCCCTTCATTTACCCCATATCATCAACTTTGGCATATCATTTATCTCCGGGCTGAGACTGTCCACTGTCCAGTTGTAACGAAGCTAAATCAACCCCCCCCCCGTCCTATCAATTAGCCTCCTTGTCGATCGCCCAGCTTTACTTCCTAATATGGCAATCCTTTCCTGATTGGCCCCGGGATATGACGTACATGTGTGACGTGTAACATTGTGTGCCGGCCGAGCCGTGGCGGGGCCGGAGCGGGCAGAGCCCCCGGAGATTCGACTGTTGGGCCTTGTCACTTGCGGCCACACTTTGACTAACCTCCTTTGGCTAAAGACAATAAAAGCCGAAAGGAACGTCTTCTTTAACCCGCGCCCTGCTGGGGGGGGTGTTTGAACACCCCCCTTGTGGTTTTTCGCGAATATCTCAAAAACGGCGGCGCGGAGCGCCGCCGTTTTTGGTACACCTTATCATACATCAATTCTACACATGTTGTGAAAATTTCAGACCAAGGTCATTCAAGGTCAGGTCACCAGGTCACTTGAAGTGACCTCACCTCATAAAAAGTTTCAATGTCTGTCATAGCTACACCGAGAGACCGATCGCTTTGAAACTTTCAGCGATTGCTAAGAGCAATAGCATGTACAAAATGTATATCTCAGAATTTTCATATCGATGACCTAAGGTCAGGTCAATTTTGCGACCTCCCCATTATAAGTCAATGGGAGAAAATTGAAATGCGCCTCTTTTGGACGAAAGACATTATAAACACTCCCAAACACTGAATTACAAGTGGTTTAGACACACTGAACATGAAAATGGTGTCCGTGACCCCTGTTTATGCCCTGAGGTCATCTTAGGTCACGAATGGTATCTAACAGTTTTCCGCAAATAACTTTTGATAGAGGCATGCTAGAGCGATGAAAACGCCCTAGATGTGTTCAGCTCGACGATACGGATCGACTGATATGCAACATGACCCTTTCCGGTCAGGTCATGACCTTGACCTGAGGTCAAATTTTCAAGTTGACCTTTCAAGGTCAAGTTATAGTTCATTCGATGCGTCTTGACGAGAGGAACACGATGCCGGTAAAAGTAAGCTCGTACAAGGCTTGGGTCAAAAGTTATTGCAGAAAAACCGTTTCCGAAAAAAATCGGCTATTTTTGCAGTTTTTGCCCCCTGCAGGCAAAACCGTTGACGTTAGGTCAAATCTGAGAGAATTACTCAGAAAGGGCGTTAATAGGGCTATCGAATGCGTTTTTCCGCGGCGCTGTAGCTCTATTGGTTCTCGAGTTATGCGTTGGCTTCTTGGAAATTGTCGACATTCGACCTGGAAATCGGCGAAATTTTGCCTTCAATGACCTCTGGTGACCTGACCTTTGACCTGACCAAAAAATTGACCGAAGTGATTTCCTCATTATTTTTGACGCTCTTTCGAACGCCGCCTTCCGCGTATCGCTACGTGGCCCAGGAACCGAGTTAGAAGGGGGGGTGTTCAAACACACACCCCCCCCCCCCCCCAGCAGGGCGTGGAAATCCAGGACCCCCAGCCGGGCGCGGGTTAATAAAACACAACGCGAGAATCCAGGTTTTATTTTTACTATCACAAGCGCAGAGGTTACACCAGTGCCCAATTAGCGCACCCATCAAGCACCACGATAAAACACAATATTTCTTCCTAGTAGCTGGCTGATGCCTGCTGATGGCAGAGCTCATGACATCTGACTCGTATACCTGCATCTATAAGCACCACCACACCCGACTTGGATCGACAGGTGCCGAGCCGGTTCACCACCGGTTCCCGAAACATGTGACCGCGGCAAGGTGCGACCTCCATCTCACCCCCTATTTCTGGGAGAAGCAGGCCGATCCCTCCCCCCTCACTCAATCTGCACACCTGACTGAGGCACTGCGAGCCCCGGGGCGTTACTCGGAGGCCGGAGGAGCGTCCGAGGAGGCCGCGGTCGCAGCGCCGACCTTGGTGTTGTTAGCGCCCGCCATTAACACCCAGGTACCGGCGGCCAGAGCTGGTCGGCGATGCCGCCGCCCCCGGAATGCGCCCGCTCGCACTGATTCAGGCCCGGATGCGGCTCACATACACACTCACACGGTCAGTGGGTGTGAGAGATGAATCAGACGCACTGCTGGCCGCCATTCGAGGAATCTGCCGTGTCCCATGTCCTCAGCGCCCGCCCGGGCCCCGCACATGCGACGCGTTCACCAATGAAATCCGTGGGTCTCCGCGGATCTCAGATGGTCTCAGACGGTCCAGGGAGGCCCGGACCAGCACCGCGATTCCCGACGGGCCGGCCGCATCCTCCGGCGCGAACACACCCGGCCAGACTCGATTTATTGCCTCGGACGTTCCGGGCGACATTCTTGGCCGGAATTGGATGAGACCGGCCCTCCCAGCTGACGGCAACAGAGCGCGATTCAGCCCGGCGGCAGCCGCGACCCTCCCACGAGAGGCCGTCGGCGTCGACGCGGCCGGCGACGACGAAGACGTCGCGAGGAATCTGAGACGCGACGCGTGCGCGACACATGTCTGGGAGAAATTGGTGGCATTTTTGGGCCGGCGATATCAGCATTCCATGTCCTGAATCGTCCCATTCAGAGGAGGCGTTTCGGATGTTCGTCCCCTTGTCCTAAACGGTGGAAGGCCGCAGTGTGGCATGCGAAAACTATCATGCGACTGTCCCTAAAAATCCAGGGCTAATGCTTACTCAGCTATTCGATTTATATGTGCTTCGCAGCCCTGCATTGCACCATAAGTGTGATAAACAATCTGCTGAGCGTTGCAAATGTGGCGTGATGAAAAACCAGAGAGCGAAAGGAATGGCCGAATTTTCCGCCGCTATCTTTGCGACAGCCCAATCTGGGATCACCCGTTGAGAGCGGAGTATTGAGCAGGATCTGTGCCGTCTCAGAGGTGGCGTAGCCGGTTGAGAGGACGTGGGATTATATTTATCGCTCCGCCTGATTACGTGATGAAATTTGAAATCTTGTTGCTCATGCTGACTGGATCGGTGCAATTAACTGAATAGTGTGCAATTAACTGAATAGTTATGTTAATTATTGATCAGTAGGTGCATATGATTGGCACATAATTTTCAACTGAGCTCCGTAGTTTCCTAACCAGGTCTTCACGCTGCGCCTGGCAGCTCCCCATTGAATCGACTCACCTGTCTGTCTGTCAGGCCGAGGATGCGCGACAGCTCCAGCTTCCTCTTGATGGTGATGTAGTTGTTGTAGCGGAACTCCTTCTCGAGCTCCAGTCGCTGGGCGTCGCTGTACACCACGCGGTACTTGTCCTTGGTGCGAGTCTTCCCTGTAACAACAGACGGCCAAGGGTCAGTTGGAGAACGATTGGCTAGAGTTGTGCTACTGTCTGTCGTGTGTTTGTCTGCGCATCTGTAATTATTCGTGCTTGAGGTTGTGGTGGTGAGCTGGTATGACTTTATTGCATGCTTCTTTTTGGTAGACTTCTGGCTCTCCGATAATTTAATTCATGAATGATTATTTCACCCTGATTTGCCAGCTGGCGAGGAGTTGAATCGTTACGTCTCTGAATATACGGTGACGAGTAGTCGTGAATAATTTCGTATTCGTTCAAGCACACAGATGCAAAGAAGAATCCATAACACACATGTCAAACGCGCTCCCACCAGCTCCTATCCCCCTCCCGGCGCGAGCCTCCCACCTGTCCGCTGGTCCACATTTCACCCCTATCCCTCCGCCCACCATTCGGCGCACCCCACCCCGTCCCATCGCGCGCCGGGCTTCCGCCCTGCCCTGGAACAACGGAGCTGTCATCGGGCGGAGCCGCGCGCGGCGCCGATCGCCGCGTCATTCATTGCGGAATCGATCGCCGCTCGCGCGCCGCCGCTAGCCCCGCTAATGTTGGACAATAAAGGCGTGTCCGGGCAGTGTCAACAGGACAGTTAGGCGCGGGATGCCGGCGGCGCGGCGGTCAGAATCGCCGCCCGATATCCCCGGCGGCGGCGGCGGGCTGAAAGGCATGTGTACAGCGCCGAGAACCAATGGCCGCCAGGTGGGGCGCCCTGGAAGCGCTCAGACCAAGTGTTGTGTCCCGTTGGCCACGCGCGGGCCGCGGTGGCCGGCGGGCGGTGTGTTACGATGGCCGGAGGCTGTGTTTCGGTGCTGTTTGTCTGTCCGGTTGGGTTCTCAGAGTGGGTTGTAACGGTCTGTCACGGTCCAAACTGCCGATACAGAGTGCCCCGCACCGGTGCGCGGCCGTGAGGCCGTCACTGCGGGCGCAGGGGAGTCGTTAAAACGTTTATCGATTTGTGTGCAGTTGGCTGGGTCGCTGAGGTCGCGGTGGCTTAGAGGCTGGCAGATAGCACGTGGGAGGGCAGGAACTATTGGCCTGACGTGGATTGCATCATACGGCGAGTTAATCGTTCGGTTGGAAATGAGGCGCCTATGTTGAGGAAGGATATTAGGAAATAACTAAATAAATTTGCACGCATGATTTAGAAACCAAGCTTCATTCCCGCTAGACAATAACATTTTTGTATTCTTTTTTAAGGCGCCTTTTTGTATTAATTAAATAAGCATTGCAAAAAGATTAGTGTGCAGCATATTGAGCCTGCCTGCAATGAATCAGACACTTTGCACAGGGCATTCAAAAGAACACGACTATCGACTGTGCGAAAAGCCGCCGTATCTGGCACAAAGCGGACCGCCCTTGTCCGCTGTCAGTTCCGTCTCAGTCAGAAGCTACGGGCGGCTCACTGCGGCCGCTATCTGTCGCGAGCGGCGCTCTATCACCGCCCCCGCCCCCGCCCCCGCCCCGGGCGGCGGCGGCGGTGCGGCTCGGGCTGCCGGAGCCGCCTGATCCGGCGTCTGCGCGGCGCTAATCCGGCGACACTGGCGTCCCAGCGCCTCCTTCATAAATCCGTCCGCTCCAGACACGGCCGTCGTATCACGGCAGAGCTCCGCCCGCCGGCCCGCGGCCCGGCCGGCCGGCCAGCGCCGCTCGAATCTAATCGCGTCGCCGCCCGCCGCGGCCGACGGCCAAACATGGCGGCCTTTTGAGGCGCCGCTATCGCCGCGCCGCGCCGAGTCGGCCACACTCGGCGCGGCATATTAGCGCGCCGCTATCACGACGTCGAGCGGTAATTAAATCTCAGAGTGCAGGCCGCGTGCACTGCTCGCCGTAGGCGCCTCCTGATTGGTCGACGGCCCAGTCGGCTGATGGTGCGAACGCGAGGTGTGAACTGCAGCCTGCAGGTGATAATGCGGCTCAGAAGTGGGAGCGATGCAGTGTGAACGGGTTCGTTCGAGTCGTCGACGCTTTTTGCACTGCCTTTATGGATGGGTAGTCACATTGTGGGTAAAGATTAGTGTTATTTGGCTGATTGGACATGTTGAAGCGAAGCACCTTACATCGCGATGTTAAGAATAGCAATAGCTTTATAAAGTCAGTATTTGTAAATAATAGAAATTGCAAAATAAATGGCAGTGACAGTTCCAGCAAGTGAGTGACTCACAATTATTTTCAAAACATCAAATTTTAGGAATGTGTACCTCTTGCGTAAAAAATCACAATTTGAACACATTTCAAAACTCAAAAGTGTTTAAAAAATTAACACCGGTACAAACGATTTGATTCCTCCCATAGATGGCCACAATTTTATCAATATCATCACTAACAATAAACATAAAAAAGAAGCTCTGCTAAACCTTTTCAGTCCCACATTGCCCACATCATATCGAACTGGGCCAAACGTTACAGCCGAGGCGTGCGACGCCTCGCCGCCCCTGACTGCGGTTTTCCGCTATATGCGTTCACACACAGAAATATTGAGCGGAAAAACGGTGTAATTGAAAGTACCAAAAGGAACATTTTTTGGTGTAAAATTACTCTGTTTTCTGGCTAAAAGAACACATATATGTGTGTTTTGCTAGCTTCGGAGTGTTTCACTATTGTGTAGGAGAACCGCTTTCAGTGTAACCTTACCAAGGATCTCGCGTTACATTTACGCACAAATATGTGTTTTTGGTAAAAAGTACCAAAAGGAACACTCGCGTGGTAATCGTACACAAATTCATGGCGGTAAATTTACACAAATATGACGGTTATCATAACGATTTTTTTCTGGTAAAGCTAATGTTCGGCCCGCAAAATTTGTGAAGCAAGCGACACGCGGCGGGACGTTGTCGCCAGCCGCGAGCCTATTAGCTAAATGAAACGAAACATTGTGATGCTCAATGCCTACCCCATGCTGCAAACACGTTTATTTGTTTGTTTGTCGTTTATTTATAAGAATCGACATCACATCTGACGGAAATAAAAGTTAGATTAGGGCAAAAGCATAACCTTATCATATACATAAGCTGATATTTCACAACGCATGGGCGCCGCTACAGGCCTCAGCCACCGCCCGTCTCCCGTCAACTGCCCGTAATTAATAAATGAATAATATGCAATCTGTACGCACTACTTCACTGTGCCAAAATTATCGTTCATTTAATAAGCCATCGGCTCTCTATTGCCTATCTGGCAAAATATAAGTATAACTATACCTAATCAACCCTAGAAAAGCATGAAGTGCATCCATTATTTTCATAGCACGACAGCAGTTCACTTAAAAAATTGCAAGCCCACCTTAGCACTCCGACAAAGCTGGATAATTTCCAGCAGCTCCTCTAATGTCGCTCCGCTTCAGATTTCAGACTCGGTCTTGATGGCAGTTATCAGACGATGACCACAATGCAGTATTTCACTTATTATTCACTCATTCACTCATTGCCCAGCTTATTATCAAACTAGATAAACACCACAGCACTATTTTATCTCACTGATCGCATAAGAATGGGCAAACCCACTCTGTGCACCATGCAGCCACAACACTCTCCCGCCGGCCCCCGCGGTCCCCGGCGCACAACTGACATATTGCGAAAATGGCGCCGCCGCCGTCAGCGTGAGCTCAAAATTTCGCTAAATTTACACGGGTCGACGTAAACGAACGGTGCTTTGGATGTGTACCGCAATTACCAGTGCGACACAACACTCATTCGCGTATGGATACACATGCTTTGCATAGAAACATATCAGTTAGGTATCTGAACATCTGTTATGCTGTTACATTATCCTGTTTTACGTAAAGATGCTTGTGTGGTGTAATAAAACTGCCGATATTTGTTAGTTAACCAATAAACGTGGTATAAAAACAAACTTATTCTTGATGCCTTTACTTATTATGACGTTGTGCAACGGATACCTTGCTTATTTATCACGAAAGTACTTAAACTAAAGATATTTTACTAAGTGAAGTAGAACTTTGAAGCTATTTGAATTATTTACGAGTATATTGAACTTGACATCGCTCAATATTTCTCTGTGTGTTCCGCCGTGCTCCGGTGTAGGACGGCACAGTCTACCTACCGCGCGGCCTGAGCGGATACATTACGGAAAGCGAGCGACGCACCGGAGCTGACCGTCGCGACGGTCAGCTCCGGTGATTTCTGGGCGCGGCGAGCCCGATGATTTTCAGAAGGTTTGAGGAACTGAATTACAGTGGAAACTGGGAAGGTCTTATTGGTTATTCTAAGCATTGCGATGTGCAGGTTCGAGATAACAGTAAAAACTGCTTCCAAAAGCGTAGCTAAGCAGACTCGGCTCACTTCCTATTTACGACATCTGAGTCCGTTGTGAGAATACTTGTAAAATGAATGGCCTGTTTGCTAAAACACCAACCATGTCCATAAAGCAGAGAAATGAAGAGAATATTCCTTTAGCCGCATGCGTGTTGTCTCCGAGGAGACATACTCTGAAATATCAACCGTATATACAAGGAAGTAACCGCGATACATATTCAGGTATAGGGCAACATCAGAAAACCGCGCTATACAAAGCGAATGAAGGACTAACGACGATATAACACCGCCTCCCCGGCGGTGGCTGAAAGAAGAAACCTCAGAACAGCGTCATAAGCCGACGTGGAAAAGGTCTCCCAACGATAATTGCACACCGCTCTGCACCGCAATGGTGAGTGCAGTTCACAATACTTTACAATACAATACACAATACAATACAATCTTCACAATACTGCACAGTGTACATTCATGTGATTCGGTTTCCCAGGAGGAGTCATAAAACTGCCAATTGTCATAATTACGCGCAGAGAATACCTGCAGAAACGTTTATAGCCAAGATGGTAAAGACCGACAACGCTCGATGGTGCACTGCTTCTGATGAATATTTGACCAGCCAGAGCCTTGTGAAGGCCAATATTAGCATAGACAGACAGTAAAGCGCCGAGTATGCAGTCATCCTCATCAAATCATAATCCCATTTACTGT